GCGGCTGTGTCCCGGCTGTCCTCAGTTTCGCGTCCGGGTCAGAGTCCAGGCCGAGACCCTGGCTGTGGGTCGACTGTGGGAACCCAGGCTCACTTCGGGCCGCGGGTCTGGGCCTGGAGTCCCGGCGATTCTCTGAGTGTCTCCCGCGCCCCCGAGCGGTCGAAGGGCCGCGGCCTTGACGGTGGCCCGAGGGCGCGGCCTTCGGCGCGCTGCTCTTGAGAGCAAGGCCCCGCAGCAGGAAGAATGGGATTGAGGGCGTGGAAGCCTTTTTAGGGTTAGCAGAAATTTACTGAGCAGTCCGATTCAAAAATCAGTTTGATTCTGCCTTTTGGGGACCGACAAACATCACGGAGCTTTTAAAATATAGTAATTTAGAGTCTGTAGAACTTTCTGAACCCCTGACCTCCTGCATTACATTTTCTTGTAAATCCCTAGAGTTCTTTGTGACCCACCTGTTTTGGGGTAATAAGAAATGTGTATCTTTTTAGTACTGAAGCTTTAAAGAATGTTCTGCGTTCTGTTTGAGATGCAGGTTTGGAACAAAAGCTTTGTTGAATAAAGGCCATTTATATTCCCAGAGAATTTAAAACGCTCCATAGATATTTGAACAATGTGTATGTGTTCATAAGTGATTTTTATAAAATGTTCAGCCTGTCCACAGGTGCAGTCCCTTTTTGTGTGTGTATATGAATTACTTTATCATGTAGGCATTTTGGCCTTGATATAGGGGGAACAAGTAGAATCCATGATCCTATATAAAAACAAGCCTATGTAGGTTCCTTTGAAAGAAACAGCACCAGTTATTATTTTTAGACAAATGTACTTAGGAAGTAGTTAGCAACTTTAAAGCCTAGTGATTCAATTCAATTTTTTAAAAATTTAATATGCTATGGTATGTTAGCAATTACTTGGCTGACTTTGGTATTTGAAAGAGTAATTAATACTTTAACCTAATACCAGTAAAATCAGTTTTATAAAAGCTGGCTGAGACTTTTAAAGCAAGTTGAATTTATGCAATTTATTGAAGTTACAATCTGAGCACAAGAATTACTTTTGGACTGTTAGATTTTCTTTTGCCAGAATAAGAGTCTCTCAAGACAGACAAACTAGGCAAAATTTTAGGCATTGTATTATCCTTGGTTTCATTCAGTTGCTTTGGGATTCGTGTGTCTTCTTGGTTCCCGTCTTCAGTTTATATGTTAGGTTGCCACACGTTTAAAAATATATTCTCTTGAAAGAAAACCCCACTGCTTTCACAATAAAGTAAACTTGATGGTGTACAAGTCGCTGGTCTCATCTGAGCTGATTATATCCTCTTTGCGTGTATTTTACACCCACAGTATGGTTTGCAGCGGTGTTCAAGACATGGCGTGAAAAATTTGATTTGAATAGTTCCATTAAAGTAATGAAAAAAAAAACATAGCTTAATAGACCTTCTAGTGATAGCTCCCCCTCTTACTATGCTAACTCTGAAATAAATATGTAATCTAGTATTGGGAACATGGCATTTAGAAGACCCTTGCTGGTAATATTTAATTTAATAAACATACTAACTGTGACATTATTAATGCAATGAGGCTTGTACCACAAGCTGATTCTTTCAGGTTGTTTGACCTATTACTTATCACTAGATTTTTTATAAATATATCCTGCAATTTAGAACTTGAATTGTGAATTTTTGAACTTTAACTCTTAAAAAATATCTGCATGACAGGGCCCTCATTTTATACACAAAGCATTTAGGCTTGGGTATCATGGCACACCTTTTATAAGGAAGAAGAGGGAGTTTAGGAGGGGAGAACATCTCTTGAGATATGCCCCTGGCTGTTTTAGTCAATATAGTTATTTTGTTTCAACACTAGTAGGGAAAAAAAAAAAGAATATAAGAT